ATCAAGTGTTGCAGTCCTAGCTGGGCACAGGCATGCTTATAATCCCAGCTACTTGAGAGGAGGAGGCAGGAAGATTGCATGTTTGAGGCCAGCCTGGGGAATTTAGCAAGACCCTATCTCAAAAAATAGAAGGGGCTGAGGACGTAGATCAGTATGAAGGTCCTAGTTCAATCCCTGGTGCACTCTTCAACCAAACTTGCATTCCTACTTTGTGTTTGTTACTATATGAATGCAGATATCATAACATTAACCACTTCCCTCTGACAGCCCACAATCTTTAAAAAAAAAAACAAAAAACCATGTAGATCTTTCATTGTACTGTAGTCAAGTGCAGAGCACTGGTGATGTTAAGTGTCAAAAAGAAGAAAATATTGCCAGGAAAGACATTGTAATTCTACCTGATGGAAAGCAACTGATTATATATACTAATAACTGGATTTCTACTGAAAAAAAATGTTAAGGAAAAGAAAGCTAATAATAAACTTTTTAAAAATGGACTTCACAAAGAATTCAGAGCTATTTCTATATATGAGAACTTCTCACATGCCTGAAATTAGTCTAAAAATTGTGAAGCTCTATCAAAAGATGCTTTGAATTCCAGTAATAGTTTCTAGTACACTTGTAGAAAATTTTATGTTTACCCTGCCATTTTTATCCTTAGTGAGTTGTTTATAGTGACCTTTAGATAAACTGTAGTAATTTTTTTCATTTTCTTGAGCTGCAACCCATTGCTTAGGTCCAAATTCAGAGTCGGCTCTTAGAAAGATCCCAGGGAAGTTTTGGATACAAATGTAAAATAATTCTACCTTAAAGAACTTTGCTGGGAATTGAAATTTCATATGACATTCATATGAAAAAATTCTAAGAATTGTAAGTTGAGGACATGAAAGTTAGTAGCATCAGACATGTAGGAATTTGTCTCACACTAGGAAAATTTGGAACCACCAGTTCTAATAAATCTTTATTAAAATTGCAGTGAATGTCAGGCACATTGTTATTTTGGCCAACTGAGACTGTAAGGATTGTTTTTCAGACGTGATAGCATGCGTGCGGCTATTTATAAATCTCAACCCATCTTTCCATTTTGCAAATCAGTCTTTCGGGGCAGTGATCCTCAGTCACAGAGGGAACTGGCTATAGCTCAGACCTCATTCTGCAGAGCCTGAGTCATCAGGCTTGGGGTGCAGGACAGGTGTCTGTTTTTAAAGCACTTTGAGTATTTCGGACCTGGAGGTCTGTGGACTATGGTGGGAGGTGGAGCATGAAACCTTCCTTGCCTTCCCGGAGCTCACAGCCTTCATGGTGGACAGGAAGCCATGACTACAGAAGGATAAGCCAATCCCAAATGGGTTGTGCATCTTACAATTCTGTGTGTGATCTCTGTGGCTATCCTTTTATCCAATTTGAAAGAGAAATGTTTAAAAGAACTAAGAACCATCGAGGCTTCCTGGGCCTCTGTTACCCATCAGACAGCCTGCTAACCACTGGAGATGCATGAGAGCCACTGCAGCCCAATCAGAAAGGAGCCACACGGTTGGAAACAGATCACAGGACGGTTTGGCAACACAGCCTGTGGAACTTAGTTTGGAAAGAAAGAGCTCATGTTTGAGATTCTAGAGACATCACTTCTTAAGTCAGGCCTCCTTTGAGGAAGCCCTCTGTGACCTCCCACCACCAGCCTAATCTTGAGCTCCTCCTGCTGCCCGGGAACAGTGAACTTCTTGCCCCATTTCCTCTGCTTGGAGTGACCTTTCCTTCTTCGCTTGGCTGCCCATCCTCACCCCCTCTCGTGGTGTGCTCTCGCTCTGTGCCTCACTCTGTCTTAGCACCATCCTCATTTCTTTGGGAGTATCCGTGGAGCTGCCTTTCCTGCACTAGACAGCAAGCTCCTCCAAAGCAGCTGTTTCTCTCCTCTCCTTTCTGTACTGTCCATACATCAGCGTCTAAAGTAAGGTCAGTGGGTGTGAACATTAATAGAGAGCAAATAAGAGGCTCCTTGTCAAGCTTTCTGTCCCTGATTTCTGTAGAGAGGATATGGAGTGCTCACTTGCTAAAGAGTCTGTAGGTTTTGAGGGTTGGTCCCTGGACACCTGGGTCTGGAGCAGGGGAGAGTTCTGAAATTCCTGCCTACAGGGGCCCTGCAAAAGGCACACAGTGAGGAAGTGGACTCTTCCTGGATGCTTATTTTCCAGTGGTAACATTTTCCTCTGTTGGCATTTCTATTGAAATGATGCATGCTTGAATTCTTGCCAAGAGTGGTTGTATGCTAACGAGCTTTTCTCTCCAACAAACTGGTCTCTGTCTTTTGGTCGCTGGTAGACAGTCCTTGCTTCATTTTTCAAGTGAATGAGAAGGCAGCAGTGAGTCAGTTGAGGGGTGGGAGTGGAGTAAAATAACAAATAAAACCCCAGGTCAGTCTGTCTTATGAAGACTTATCTCATCAGAGTGGAATGGGACTGAGATAATTTCTTTGCAAACCATCTTTAGAAATAAGAATAAAAAGCTTTTCTTATGAACTATGAATTTAATTTTTTTTCCTGATTTATTTTGCTGTATTTCTTGCAGCTTTGACTGTAAGTAGAAAATATCTCCACTTTGCTTCTGTTCTCCAAGCTCTTAAGGATTCTATCCTGAGGCAAGGAGACAAAAACAATTTGGTTTTACTCTCCCACATTCCAAAAATAACTTTAGCAATACCCTCTGGTTATCTTGCAAGTGCAGCGTGGATGCTTTTATCCTAAAGTAGCAGCATCTGATTGTTGGGGGACTTTTGCCATATGACTGTTATTTAGCAGCTAACTGCTGGTGACTCACTCACGGTGACTGTGATACAGGAAAATTCTTTCCATGGAAAACACAGGAGGGGGAGCTCTGCCTGATCCACTGTGTAGTGTTTTCCTATAGAAAAGGCTTCTCTGGAAATGCATAAGCACAGGTAATTACTGTGACCTCTCAGTCTCCCAAGCTGCCAGAGAACCTTTCTAGATGGTGAAGTTTATCCCCAAAGGTCTACAGGTAGATTAGGAACTGCAAGAAGAGACCAGCTTGTTAATAAACTTAAATCTCAGGATTAAAAGCTGTCATCCCGAGTAAAAAGAGGAGTTGAACTAATGGCATCTACAGTATCTGGAACGGTTGTGTATGACTGGGGTTGGACTGGAAACCAACAGTGTTCACAGTCACATTCCAGCAGGGAACAAAAGGGCATGGTAAAAGGAAGAAAGCTGTTCCTTAGCTTTTTTTTTTTTTTTTCCAGTGCTGGAGATGGAACCCAGGCCTCCTGCATGCTAGACGAGTGCTCTTACCCGTGAGCTACACCCCCAGCCCCACTGTTCCCTTAGCTTTGGCTCAATGACCAAGAGCCTTAGAGAGATGCGTCCAAACGAGGTGCTGTTTATGCAGCAAAAATGTAACAAAATAAACTCACCTGGTAGGCTCATAGCACAAACTAATTCCAGCTCTCTGCAGTTGATTTTGCTTGTCAGCATCTCTTCAAAGGCCCTGAGGGTGATCAGGACTTGAAAAGGAGACAAGTGCAGTTTTAGCCATGAAAAATGGGGAATGCAGAGGCCTGGTCTCCATGGTGCTCTTGAACCATGTCATCCCTCTGCATTTTGGATTGCGTCCCTCTCATGCCTGGCTCCTATTTATGAATGGAGGTTAAAGAAGCTGCGTAAAGTCTCTTCAGTGCTTATATTCCAGCTGGCTGCTGACATAGGAAAAACATGACCCGGTAGGGCAGTGGGGTGGCGGACAAAGCATGTCATAGAAAAGCGACCCAGGGGCTGAAGGGGACTCAGCCCAAGCTATTAATAGTAAAGCCCTGAGTCACAGATGTCAGAATGTCACAGCTGTTTGAGCTTTGCTACTGTTACACATCAGAAAGCCAGCAAGAAAGATCTGCCCCAGATGGAGATGACGAAAGAAACGTTTTTCTTTCTCCCCAGCCCCACCCCAAGTAGCTTATTTCAGCCGTGACCAACCTCTGAGTCAAGACTGAGGCAGGTTGGTTGGTTCCATTCCTTTCTATTCCCCTGGCTCTCCTAGACCCAACACGTTACAATATTTGCAGTAAATACAGTGTAATACTGGCTGTGCATTCTGGTTCTGAAGGATGTGTTGGCCATCTGCTGTTCTCCCTGAGTGGAGCGACGTCTGTCTTGGTCCTCACATTTCTTCCACAAGATAGACATACATGACTTAGAGCAGGGACCCCAGGGTCTGATTTGGGGAACAGGTGCTGGGTGGGGTGGGAGGAAGGCCTTGTGAACCAGAAGTCCTCTGTTCCTAGGAGACCTGGTGGGTCAGAAAAGCCAGGAGCTGCCACTGCAGATCCAAGTCAGGCCGGTCCTGGTTGCACAAGGTCCTCGACAGGGCTGTTTGCCTCTCAGCTGCCGCTGAGCCATCTCCCTGGCTGATACACATCAAAGGAGTTTGTCTAGAAAACACCAAAGAAGCAGGGAGAAAACGGAAGTCAGAATCCTACCTAACTGGATAATTCAGGTTCTTACTTTGATCCTGAATTTGATCCCGGATAGGGAATTGAATCCTGGAAGATCCTCTTCTTGGGCACTCTTTCAGTATCTCAGTCCTCTCCACCTTCCCGTGGGGATTCAGGTAAAATATAGGGCGAAGCAGTAGGGCAAACCAAGTGTCACTCTTCATTTCTCGTAGGAAAATGAAGTTGCCACTAGCATTATTTTTCTATTAAGGCCAATTTTGCTTATTCAGTTTGCCTGAAAGAAGCTGTAATAGGAATTGAAAGCAGCTGTCATAGGAAACTAATAATGTAACAATTGACTGGCTTTACTTAGGGAAACCTTCGCTGGCTGTAGTTGAGGCTCCCTCCTCTGGTAATCATTTATCAGACCCTGGGAGGGGCTAGGGCCCAGGTGGATTCCGTTGCCCGTTTTCCCTGGGCTCGGCGGCGTGAGGAATGCAAGGTGGTGTCGGTGACCAGAGATCGGGGCGGTGGAATTTTGCATTTGCTAGGGCAGCAGCTGTAGCGAGTGGTGTCAGCGGGCGCGAGGGCAGAGTCCACAGCGGGCGCGGCCGGCGGGGCGGGACTTCGGGAAGCTGCCTGGACTTGGCCGCCGCTGGGTGCAGCCGCGGGTCTGTCCGCCCAGGCGCGCTTGCTTTCCAGGAGTTCATTCCTGCTGCCTTCAGCCCCGTTCGGCTAAGGACCCGGTTGCCATGGTGAAGGAGAAAGGTAATTAAAATTATCGATCACGGCGCGCGGTTGCAGAAGTTGGAATGACATTGCGGAGCTCGGCTACCTAATGGGCTAAGATCAATCTAAAGCCGGGCAGACATGTTCTCGGTGCAAGAATCTGTACTGTGAAGCCTGGGTTTCTGCTGAACCGAGACTTTATTAAGAACCTTTAGTTTAGCCGCGGCGTGTGAACCTCGTTTTATTTCTGGAGTGTTTGCACGGCTGAGCTCCGGGGTTGTGCGTGGCTTTTGATTGTTCATGCCTTTTGCAACTGGCCTTCTTCTCCCCATGTTAGCCTCATTCTCTTCCTCATTTACAACCCCCCCCCATCAATGAAGTAATTAAGATTTGTGATGGAAGGGACCTTCCTACTGAGTGGGGCCGTGTCGGGCCTTGCCCACGCCTAGCAGTCATTTTAGTGTTGTCCCTAACCGCTCCTGCAAACGCCTTCTTCCAGGATGCTGTACGTGGCAAAGGCAGCAAAGTAGCATCCTAAGAATATAAAAAGGAGGGGGCGTGCCCGTGCAGGTGTATATTATTTATCTACTAGCCATGGCCCTGACATTAAGATAAATCTCTCAGAATTAGATTATTTATCTAGGGAATGTAAAAGAACATAACAAGGACTTGTTTTAATGAATAATACAACTTGTATTAAAGTGAAGTGTAACCGGAGAATAGAAAAGTGGAAGCGCCCCCCCCACACATCAGCCTTAATTGTTAGTGGTTAGTGTGTACTTTCTAGATCCTTTTAAACTGGAATTAGGTACATACAAGTGAGGAGTATAAAAATGGGATCACCCTGTGATCATTTTGCTGTGGCTTGATGTGTTAGAGGCCTTAAATGATTTTATAATGTAAATGACCGCCAGTTTTGCTTCTGGTAAGTTTGGATTTATTGTCACATTTTCTTACTGTGGGACATACTTTCCTCCACTAATGCAGATATTTGCCCTTTCAGGGCTGTCTTGAACCATGTCAGTAGATTATGTCTACTTTCTTGTAGAGCTACTAAGGGAATACATTTGAGATGAAAATGCTGAACTTCAGTTGCTCCTTGCTGCTGGAAACATGGTTCGCTTTTATTATACTAATGGGTGGATGGAGAAACAGCACCCTGACAGGTTAGCAATGTTAAGGTTCCACCTCAGCACAAAGAAGTGTGGTTCTGCTGCATTCATTCTGCATGAAGGGATCTTTAATGCCCACCTGCTTTAGCTTTGGTCTCTCAGTGAATAAATGGTAATGGAGTGAAATAATTTGGTGCAAATAAAAGTGCTTGTAATGTTTCCTCTCTTTGGAGGATGCTCTCAGAAACCCTCCCTACCAACTGCAGATGTTGGCGTTTACTAGAAGTTGACTCTTCATTTGAACCTCTTGCCCAACTAGAATAAAGTGATCCTGACCTCTGTGGCTAATGGATTTGAGTTTCCCAGTAAGAGTAATTTGTGATGGGAAAAGGGATCACAGATCTGCTTCTTTATTCTATTCCTGTGGGCTCATGGCAGTTCCAGACTTGCTAGACCTGGTACGTATTATAAGCCAGGAGTCCCCAAGTAACAGCTCTTCTTCAGAATCCCTGTGGACTTCCCAACGTTTAAACTGCCTGGGTTGGCATTTGCTTGGCAAATCAGTGGCCACTTTCGAACTGGAATACTTTGGCCAGGCCACTGGGAGGTCACATACTAGTATTATCTTAGCCCTTAGGCCAATGATTAGCAGTGTTTCCTTTTTTATTTTGAGGTCTGTGTCAGGCCCACTGCTGCCTCCCAGCTTTCTGATTACATCAATCTAATCCAACAGCGCAGGAAAGCAGGGCTGTTGACTAGTTGTGCAGCGCTTCCACAGATGGAAGAGAACTTCACTATGGCCCTAGAAAGTGAGAAGAAGGGTATTGGGGAGCATTGAACCCAGATATACATCCTGGGATGAGAAAACTGGGGCTTAGAAAAGATAAGTAAATGGCTCAAAGTCACACAGCAGATGACTGGACTGCACACTCATTCTCTGTGTCCCACCATATGGTGTGGGTGGACCAGTGACTGCAGTTACCATAGTGTGGACATCTGCTGTTCTGTCACTAGACGGTGAGCTTCTCAGATGCTGCATTGTCTCCATCCGTAACCAGCATGGCTTCATTTCTGCCCCCTGGTAGATTCTCCAACAGAGAAAATAGGTTGGCTTGTTTTCAGAGGGAGACAGGATCCATGTCTTCTCAATTTTGCAACTTTTCCAGTCTCCTCCATTTCCTCTTGCCCCTGGGAAGCCCTCACTTCTTCCTTCTTCTGGAGTGGACAAAAACCACCCTTGAGCAAGCTCAGGACATGGCAGTGTCCACTCTGAGGAGCATGGAGGCCTTTAGACCTCCCCACTGTGCTGCTTACTGCTCAGTGCCCAAGTCGGTTTGCCATTGTTGTTGCTCTGTGAAACCTTTGGGTTGAGGTTGACACAGGCTGAGAAAAAGCGCAGTGGCTCATCACAGCCTCCTAGGGTAGGATGCCATTGGCTGACTTCCTGTGACCCTCATTAACTCTTGTGCTCCTAAGCAGTCAGCTGTTTACTTCAAGTCGCAGACACGTATTGATCCAGAATCTCAATGAAATGATTATTTCTCTGATGGGATCAAGGGCACCTTACCCTGACTGTATCCTGTAACAAAAAAGCATGAGAGGGTTCTGTGGGTTTATCAGTCAATATCTGCCTTTCTGAATACACGCTCATCTACGTACACCCAGAGGCCCACTGTACTCACTGAAAAGCTGTAATTGCCTGATATGTGGCCTAGTGTAGTTTTTAAAAATATGAAAGGGAGTTATTGCTTCTTTTTTGTTAGAGAAAATGAGAATAAGGGAATCCTGCAGATTGTATTATGTAAATACTCATCCAAAGTAAATAATAACTGATGCTTATGGCTTGGAAACCATGGGGAAGTGTAGGAATGTAGCAGCAAGAGAGACACATCAAGGTAAATGGAATTTTACATTTGTGCACCTCACTTTTTGTTTTGTTCCCTGGAAGCTTTCTATCACTGTTGGCTGGCCCAACTTGCTCGTAGGGTAAAATGGAACCCAATAAAATTCATCTCAGTCCTTTAAGGGAGGGATGTCCATTCTTCACCTGACATTTAAGTGTATGGAGACACACACACACACACACACACACACACACACTCACAAGGCAAATCTTTTCTCTAAAGCATGGCTGCCAGCATAAGCACTATTGATATTTTGACATAATTCTTTGTAATTCTATTTTGAGCATCGCAAGATGTTTAGCATCACTCCTGGCCTCTCCCCCTAGACACTAACAAACTAGCCTCTCACTCATGACAATTCAGAATGTCTCCAGGCATGATCAAATGCCCCTTGGGACACTCAGTTGCCCTAGTTGGGAACAGGGTGGCTCTGGGACACCTTGAGCACAGTTGTCATTAAGATGTCCTTATAGCCCCTCAAGCACTGAAAGTGAGAGATATAAAAAATCCTTAGAGGAAGCCAACCAAACCACAACTGCTCCTAGAAGCCTGTTAGCTCTTGGCAGAAATAGATATTTCAAATGATAGAGAAACACCAACGTGCCTTATTTCCCAGGATGTGTCAAGTTGCTGCAAATGGAATAATCTTGTTCGTCAAAGCAGATATGTCTATAGAGATGGTCTATCTCAGTTCTCCACTTACTTTCTTTCCAGATTCTGACTGGGAATGGTCAGAGATCCTGGATTCAGTGTACACCACCAGCCAGCTTTTCCTGGCTTAGGGAAGGTCTCGAACTCAGGTCTCGGGTCTTAAAGACTTAAAGGACACAGTGGCTGCCCTCAGCTTCATTACCATCTATTGAAGAAGGAAAATAGACTCACAAATGATTAGTGGGAAGTAGATATTTTAAAGAAGCATAGAACAGTGCTCTATGGGTCCATTTTGGCTTCCATCTATGCTGATCAGGAAAGGCTTCCTGGAGCAGGTGGCTCTTAAACTGGACTTTGAAAGATTGGGCTATTTAGACATGTGATAAATTTGAATGAGAACAAAGTGATAGGTTTTAAGAGAAGCCTGCACACTAGAATTGATGGGACCAACAGCAGATTTAATAGGTTTGATATATGTGATGAATAGGCTAGAGAAATCAGAGGGTCTTGGTTGGGCTGCCTAACAGTGCTGCAAACCAGGTGGCTCAAACAGCAGAAATTTATTGTCTTACTTCTGGAAGCTACATGTCTGAGATCATGGTGTTAGCAGAGTTGATTGCTTTTGAAGGCCTTGAGTAAGAATCTGTTGATAGGGCTGGGAATTTAGCTCAGTGGTGCTGCCGCCTGCCTCGCCAGCACAAGGTCCTGAATTCGATCCCTGGTACCAAAAAAAAAATCTGCTGATGGCTTGCTAGCTGTCTTTAGTGGTCCTTGGCTTGTTGTGGAAGCATCATCTCATCTCTGTGTTCAAATCCACACTGCCTTCACCCTGTGCATGACTGTCTCCACATTTCCCCTTTATAGAAGCGCAGTTGGGAGTAGGGCCCACCGTAATGACCGATTTTAACCTGATCACCTCTTTAAAGACCTTCTCCAAACAAGGCCACATTCGGACTTGTTGAGACTTAGGACTTCAACACGTGAATTTGGCTGGGAGGAAGGGGAGATGCACTTGAACGCATTATCCTCAGACTCATCTTAGATGTGGATAAAGCCGGGGAAGGACTCAGGGAGAGGAAGGACGGGGAGGGAGAGTGGGATAGAAGAGAGTTGCTAGTGGTGGGAAGGAGAGAGAAGATCGGTTTTATAAACTTTGGGCCAGTGCTGGGGATACGTCTCTGGCGAGTGATCAGAAGTGTGCAGTCCCGGCTCTGCGTCCTAGGCAGGATACTGAGATTACTGGGCAAATTCAGGTGGTCTTGCTAGACTCTCCCTTGAAGGAGGCTGTAACAACAGACTACTTTCCTCTGGAATAGTAGGAGGTACTTCAGAGGTCAGGTATCCATGGAGAAGCAGACCCTCGCTCTGACGG